TTTTGGAGAGTGATTTTAATTGGAATAAATTGTATATGGATATCTTTTATTGTACTATTGAAACAAAATTGCAATCTTTGCATGTGAAAATGTTTCATGGTGCCATAGTACTAAACGATAGATTGTATAAATTTAAACTTGTTTCATTAGAGTCATGTGATTCCTGTCATTCTAATGTTGAAACAACCAGCCACCTTTTCTATGATTGTATAGTTGTTCAACAGTTTTGGGAAACTCTAAACATGTGGATATACTCAAAAACAGGGATTAATTTTAACTTTTCAAAGAGAGCTTGCATGTTGGGATATGTTTGTAATTGTTATACCAAATTGTGTAACTGTATACTTCTTGCTGCCCGGTTTTATTTATATCGTTGTAAGTTACAGAAAAAAAACACAGTTCAATGTTTTACCTCGTATCTGTATGAAGTGAAGGAAATTGAACGGTTCATTGCATATAAAAATGGAAAAATAAAGAAACATGGTCAAAAATGGAAATTTTTATGATACAATAACTGATTATTCTATCTATATGATGAATTTTGTACTGTTCATGATTAGTGATTAATAATGTTGTAGATGTACCGATCAACTGTGTTTTATATATTATTAAATATATACAAAAAAAAAACTCGCCTGAAGACACCAAGTCCTTGAACTTTTTAGGTGCAGCCAAGCTTCTGCACACACGATGTCACTAAAAATGAAGAGCTATAGTCTAAACGAGTTGGGATTTCAACCTTAAATTTATAGCATTCCAATGTCACCATTAGATGTACTGAAATTGCATCTAAGTTGGTAAACGGTATATTACTCACAAAGTTTAGATGTGTTGAACAGTCATTATAATGTGGAAAAATGAGTATTCGGACGCCTTCTGTATTTAAATGAAGTTTACCTCCATTGGGTTGCTTCACGTTCAAAGCTATAATAACTTGCATCCTACAAAAGCAAAAACTACGTCTCGGGAGACTTGACGGTGTATGTGTTAATCTATCATATATATATATGTCTTGATACACGGTGGAATCATACAGGCAACATGGTATGGTGTTGAGGGTGAAGGAATATCTTTGCTAAGAATGGGATTTGAACAAGGGAAATTTTATGGATACACAAGTAGGGATACGCAAAAAGATATCTAGTGAAAATTTCTAATAAATAATATAGTTTTCTAGACATTAAATGAAAATTAGTGTCCATTTTCTAATCATATTGTGAATATAGCTTTGCAAATTCTCATGATAAAACGGGTACAAGTTATAAAATATATTCGCAACCGTTTCATAATTGTATGCATCGACCACCACATTAAATATCCAGCTGTCACTAAGCCTACGTCATCAAAGCGCCGCAAAAGTCCCAAATCACTTGATCTCTCGTTCTAAGTTAATACATTGTTTCCATATGTCAAGAATTGTTTTCGAAATTCCCTAAATAAAATCGATTAATTGCTTAAGTTACTCCTTAATCCAACAATTCCATACCACGTAACACTTATTTATTAGTTTTATGAGTTATGATCAATTGTGATTCGGATAAATACCCAAATACATAAAGCGATGTGATTGATGTGCCAACGCGAGGTAAACGTTAGTCGGTCATACCGTGAGTTTCTCTCGTGTGAGTGAGGATTGCTCCTGTCTTCACTGACGGTCGGATATAGATATAGAGCGATGATAACAGCAAATGCAAGGGTTGGTTGAATAATCATGGCAAGTAAGCGAACTATTAATTTTAAACCGGTAGTAGATAGAAGATGAAAATATTTTGCGTTAAAGTTTTTATTGAAATACAGAGTTTAAAGCATTGTTTTACCAGTTACCAAAATTTGTACTTAATTTAGTGTTTAGATGAAACGTTGTGGAGATATTTCAGCTTATTGGCAATTTTTTTTTGTCAAGTTTCAGTTAGAATTTATTGTCCCCAATGCTTTGTTTTGTCCTAGCCCTTAATTATGGGAATGTGACATAGTAAACGATTTAGGTGATAAAAGTGTTTCAAATTGACGTTAAGTTAAAAAAAAGCGCGATCTATAATTCTAAACGATTTAAAATCACAAATTATCTAAGAGATATTTGATCTTACTTACTGCACTGAAGTATTTTAATATCAATACAAATTGAGAAAAGCAGAAATGAAATTGTTGGAAAAAGCAGAATCGTTTTTGAAGAAGCCCATTCAAACTGATTTCATATTATGTATAAGATGAGCCAATGTTCATAAAAAATCAAGTTTTGTTCTGGAAAAACACCAATACGATATGATACATAGGCATTTATACTAGCATAGCGCCTTGTTGTAGTAACAATAGACATGTGCCTTTCTTTTATTCCGTAAATTATCAGATTTTGCTGCCAAATTAGTGCAATTTGAATATTTTAAAACATTTGAATGAAAAATTTCTACGGTGATTTAAACAACATTTTGTTGTCTCGAATAACCATAAAATGCAACTTTTATATTATCCGATACGGAAACTATGGATAGCCCTTCTTAACACAGCGTTTTACTATATATATATATGGATTTTTATGACAAGCAGTTAGCGTAGTATAGATTCACTGATTTTCAATCTGCTGACTATAGTTTTTTATATAAAAGTTTACCAATAACCCATGCATGCTGTTGTTTAGCGAAGCGCATGAATGGTTTATGAGTGAGTTGAGCAAAGATATACCCTAACCTCGTACCAATGGTAGCACAAACAAACGGGGCTATAATCTTTTATAATCGTCGATAATGCGGATAATTCGACAACTCGTGTGTAGCTGAAACCGCGAATGTCGGAATTAATGGCTATGAAATTTTACTTTTCGAAAATAGACGAAAGCAACATTTCAACAATATTGACATGGCTCGTGTTCGCAGACCGGATCGGTAATCATATCGAAGTAGTAAGTTTTATTTTAGATAAAAACTTGTAGCACAGCGACTATATTTTATTGCATTTCGAATTTATTTATTACATTTTGTGTTGGGGCAGATGAAAATCAATAGAAGAGTTGTTACGATCTTCGTTAAAACACATAAAATGACCGATTTTTGTTTAAAGGCATAAGTTGAATGTTCAGCTTTAACATGCATATTCTTGACACTATATTAGGGCCATGTCACCTGTTCTTGTCTAATGTATGTTAGTTACCAGTTTACCAAAAGGTACGATGATAGCCAAACAAATAGGTAGGATCTTGGGGTATACACCCTAATTTTTATTACGGTTTTTATTGAGAATAGAAGAAAGCAATAAAACTGAAAAAATGAAAATTATCAAGTTATGCAAAACTAAAAATATTTTTTCCATGCGATATAACTTTGGTCTTATAACTTAGTCAACCAATATCGCAAATATTTCATCTTATAATCTTCTTAATTCAAACGGTATATATGGTCATTTTCAGCTTAGGATAATATGTAAGGATAATTGTACTAAAAAGCATGGACATATTTTCAATTTTTGTAAATTAATAGAATATCTGAAAATAAAAAGGAACATAAAAAATCTGAAACGTTCATGTACGTTTTCTATCACTTAAATATCACACTGCGCTAGTGACAAATCAAAATGATATACAGAAACAATAAAAATTCAATAAGCGTAACAGTAACTCTGGCAACGTCATAGTAATTTTGTTTGCCAGTTTGGCATACTTGCATGCGTGAAACGGGGTGTTCAATTCAATTTGGACTGTTCTTATACTGTAGTAAACAACGAGAAAAAATTTATGAACCACCGCGTTATGAAGTGTCCCACCACTCATATTATTACGAGCGCATAATATTCATGTTACAGTTTAAATGCCTTCAAAACCAATCGTGTTTAAATAATGCTTTTTGGAGTTTGTTAAGTATGATATATATTAAAATTTTCGATGGCTACAATACGGTCTTATCTCATCCAGCGTATAATTGTAATAGACTTTTACGTTATTACATAGGGGTAATTGATGAAACCGCGTCGAATAAACACGATACATCTTTGGCCCTACTCATCGAAATCTATATGAAAAGACTGGGTTAATGTAATACTAGCAAATGTATGTTTTTTTTAAAAGGTCGTTCACTCCTCTTCGCTACCATGCCACTTGTGCGCTGTATTACCTGCAGGTAAGCATACTTGACATGCCACTTGCTAGCATTGCGTTGTGGCGTATCGGAATATAGCTATTTAAGTCATATATTAAACTAATAAATTTGGGAATCATATTTTAGTTGATAGTTCCAAGACAAACATGGGTTGAGTTTGTACACTAAATGCAAACAAACTGCTAAAAGCGGATAACGCAGCAACGAGTGCAAACAAAGGTACAATAAACGGTAGAGAATAGCACGGTGTGGGGAGAGTAGTAGCCAGCTAGTTTTGCTAGTAGTTGTAGTTTAAAGTCAAATATCAAAATCTGCGAATAGAGCAGAACCCAAGCTTTCAGCATTCATATTCTATATTCGTTTCTAATCAAAACTGGAATATCAGAGTTTTGAATGTATGTAAGACTACGTTTGGTAAACCGCATTTAACGAGATGTCTAAGGAAAGTTTTATTTGATATTCATACAAAGCATAGTTTATGACTATGGTCCTACATTTCAATCGCCTATATTTGTCTATTCAGCGTGTGCCACACCCTTGAATCAATATCGTTGAAAATGTCGTTTTTCTCGAAGTAGGTTGATCTTTTGCCGGCAACAGATACGATTTAGATATGTGAAGAGACAGAGGTTCAGACGATACGCTAATACTTTGATGATTCTAACTTTTAAATGTAAACTGTGTACTGCTAAGACAAGATTATGAAAACTTTAGGTTTTGTATTTCTGGAGATAATAACTAATACTGCCTAAAAATATCGCATTCGCCTCATTGCTTGTTACATCATTGCAAGTTAGTCAATCACCGCATGATTTCTCCTCCCATTATTATGGTGCGACCCACAAATTTATGTTTGTATCAATTCATCCATATTCATTGTGTGTATTCTCACTTTCATTTATATCATATTATAAAGCTGGGATTGAAAAGGATTGTGTATATAGTTTTTAACTCCCACTGGGATTATGGCTTGGCACATTGTAGAGAAGTTAATTGAACAAGTAGGACAGCACTCGACGTTAATAGGAAAGTTCTGGACAACGTTCTTCTTCGTACTGAGATTTTTGATGGTTGTTTCAATCGCTGACACAGTTTTTGGTGATGAACAAGGATCATTCGTTTGTAACACACTGACTCCTGGTTGCGAAAACGTATGCTTCAACGATTTTAGCCCGATATCTCTCATCAGATTATGGGCTCTTCAGGTGAGAAAAACCTTGTTCATAAATGCTCTCGTGTATCTTAAAATATTTGTAATTGGTATAGGAACTGAGTTTCTTTTTCGTATCAGCATTCATTTTTTAAACTTAAATACGATCTTGTTAGCTTATCGCTTTTGTTAAGAATTGACTCGTCACCATCTTTAGATGAAATAGTGTTGGGTCATTATTAAACTAGTATTAGTTTAACTTTTGTTATTAATCAAAAGTGAAAATTTGCTAGGTTACGATGTTATGAACTGTTTCTTTGGTAAATTTTTATCGCCATATTACTAAATGATAGGCCTCCATAAACGCACATACTCGGGACTTTAAAGATCAAAATTTTATTCTTACATTTTAGATTTTGAGTGTCGCAATACCAAGCATCATATTCATCGTCTATACAGCTCACAAACTTACTAAAATTGAGCAAGCACGGGCATTAAAAAAAAAAGAAGAAGATAAAAAGAAAAAACAAAAAGAAGAAGCAAAGAAATTGAGAGAAGAAGCGCGGAACAAGGCCAGGAGACGAATGGCGGATGAAGGTCCTCCAGGTATTTCATGGTGTAGACGTGACTAATTACCATTTTTAATCTTATTTGAATTGCAATGAAACATTTTTGATCTTTAACCGTTTTATTATATTTTTTATACGTTCGTCCTGCTATAGGTTTTTAGAATCAGCATGCCAATCATTTGTCGAAGATGCAATGAGTATAGGTTATTCCGTTTATCATTACAATAATGTCGCAATACGTGAGTGGGTCGAGACCAACACTTGACACTGCCTTATGTTGCAAGACCTTGTGTGCTCACCTGAATCATGCTTCTACTTGACCTTACAGACATTAGCAAACCGTGTTATGAGCCTGTTGTTTATCATGTGATTATTTCAAATGCAACGTTTCGAAGTTGAGTTTTGTATTTGAATTGTTTGCAACTTCCCTTATCTCACATAAATAAGTACTGACGGAATTTGTGTTCAACTTGTATCTAATTATTTATTTTTTGCAGAATACAATAACTTCATCCACGGAGAGAATGGACATGTCACAAACGTTGAGCCAGTGGTAAGTGTTCAGTGAAGCTTACAGAAAATTTTGCGTATATCAGATGAAAATATTATAATGGACAAATTGATTTCAAAGGTGGACCTTAAATATGTCTGAAATCTTCAATCTTTTGCTTTGATGCTAAAGCACAAATTGAGACTAGCAATATTTGAATTTATCTCAAAGTTTGTTTTCCACCAGTAGCGTGAGTGAGAAAAAATTAGATATAAATATTGTCAAATAAGAAAAATTATTAAAACTTGTTTTTGTCCAGACTGAAAAAGCAGCCAAAGAAGCTTCAGAAAAAGAAGACAAAAAGAAAAAGGATGACGACAAAGACGATTCGAAAAAAGACGAAGTTGTTGCAACAAAATTAGGAGCGGATACACCACCGAGATTATTTCTCGCTTATTTAACACAGGTATGCGAGCTTTATTCAAATTCCACGAAAAATAATAATTCCTAGCAACTGATATTGATCCTTAAAATGATATATTTGAATTTCATTTTCTCTCAAAGTAAAAGAATATTTCAAATATTTTATTTTCTAGTTTTCTCACAATGTTAAAAAACACAGAATAAAATACCAGGAATTTTTACTTGGCCATTTTTATTTATATGAATTCAAGCAAGTAACAAATACAATTCTTGTCGTTGGCATTCGGCATAAAATAAATGTCTAACTCGTTCGATCTTCAAAGTTAAATCAAAACGCAATGAGTTGTTCATTAACCAACTGAGTGGATGCTAACAAAAATATTAAGATGACCGTTGAGGTTTCACTATCAAATATCCTAATCGTGACTCAGCGACATACTGTTGCTCATATGATAGTGATGACGGAGATAAATAATGACGAATGAATTAAGCATGACTTATCATAACGAAATATTCATACAGTGTTGGAAGTTTTCCGTAGGGAATTTTATGATTTGACGTCAATTAAAATGGCCTGCAGTGGGCATTTTCATTGAATTACTTCAAGGCGCTTTGGGCTTTAGGATGATGTTTTTAGAAGTTATATAGCGTGGACTTGATGTTTTTTCAAATCTGTCCTCTTCTCTATGCTGGTCGAAGATTTTGTTTGATTATTTCCAAAATAGTCGCTTGAAATTCATATTATAATATTGCATGCGCGATGAGCGAAAAGTTTTTTCAGCATAAGTAATACCATCGTCAACTCCAAGAAACAAAACATATGAAAAATTTGCGGAATCTTCAAAGTATATGTAAGAGTTTAGTAAAACAATTAGCAGCATGTGACGTCTTATTTTTCGACTTTCAATAAAATAAATATCTCATTTATAAAAATGTAAATTTTCACAGATAGTTGATATACTGACTACATCAATAAATGAATTAGAACAAGCATGACATTAAAATTCATTCATGAGATTATTCTATTAGTCATGTCGACGTAGTTTATTTTCACAAAAGGCGGGCATCGAAATATATTTACCAAATCCTTTCTCCTGGCAAGTCATTATTAGTAATTCCTAAAATTTTTATCCTCATTCTCAACTTTTCAATTAAAGGAAATAATAGTAATATCGTCGCTGAATCTTGGATAAAGATTTGATAAAAGCCATTGGATCATACCCGATCGATGCCAGTTCTTAGGCTCGAGTTCATTTAATTGCCGTTCGTATATTTACTAGCTGTGTCACAGTGGAATCCTCGCGATGTGTGTGTGTTTAAAAAAGCACACATAGCGCTCTTTGTATATGTCCTTGTGTATATATGAACGACCTTTTAGACTTACGCAATATCGCATCAGCGCATTTATGGCAGCCACCGCCCGCACATTTATCCTTAGTCGGCTGACGTTTTGAAAATGACATTGGTGCACTTTGGTATTTTCCACTTCGAATTGTTTTTGTACTTGTCTTCATCTCAAATAGTGCCACTGATTTCCCCTGTAAATTAGTAGCGATTTAAGTTCAAGGGTCTTTGTCGGAGTACAGGACGATGCATTCGACATGAGTCCGTTATACACTCTATTGCTTTTCTTTGTATATGTTTAAACGCGCTTATAATCAATATCAAATGTTATATCGTAAATAATAATCGTACGTTTGTTGAACAAATCAGAACAATTAGACACTAAATCTTGTCAATGTATTTATCAAAACCTAAATATAAATTCATTTACCTTTGTAATATCTACTATATACATAAATACAGAAACTAGATTAGGCTTTGTTTCGAAACTTTTCTTTTTAAAAGTTTTTTAAAAATGCAATTACCAATGTGATACTATTTTATTTCAGGTCGTTTTCAGATTGCTCGTTGAAGTGGCGTTTATGATTGTTCAATTCAACATTTATGTTTACAAATTCTACGTTCCTGAATTATTTAAATGCTCAAGATGGCCGTGTCCAAATGTGGTTGATTGTTTCGTATCGAGACCCAAAGAAAAGACTGTAATGTTATGGATTATGTTTGGTAAGTTTCAGATAGATCTTTGTTGGCTGTTGGGAATTTAACTGATGTTCACAACAAGAGTGCAAATGGCATGGATGTGGACACCAAATCCAATATCTAGAATACTGTTACGTATCTAGGCTGGTAGTAGTCAAACATGATCGTTTCAATTTCTCAAAGAAACGTGGTAAATCCATGATGAAAAATCAGAATACATTTGGAATAAAACAAAAGTCCAGAAATAAATGAAATTGAAAGGAGTGCCAACATTCATATAATCAGAACAATTCTAAATAGATCTGATCATCTTTTATGTGAAATGCTCGATCGTACCTGGGCATATAAGACTTTTGTTTGATTTATACACAGTGCTTTTATGTAATCACGACAACAGCGAACAACATTTTTCAGTGGCTGTCATATGTGGGTGGACAAAAGTAATAAATTAATTGTCGACTCTTTAGTGTACAAGATTTCAAACACAGTAGGTCGTCATGAATTCATTTCAACAATCATTTTTCATTTCACCACTGCGTCACCGGGCATGAACCACATATAACAAGAGTCAATGTAAAATGTTCAAATGTAAATATATTGAACATGTATTGCCCAACTATCAATCGGTAAAAATTAACCGAACGTATGATAAGGCGTGTTTACCTAACTACTGTACGCGTACGAACAGCTTTTAAATTAAATCCTCCCAGTGCACCAATGAAATGAGTTCTTGAAATGACTTTTTACAGGCGTTACAAGTGCCTGCAAACATAGTTTTGCGGTGAACAAACTCGACGTCGTCTCGACTCATACGTGCAGCTGCACGTCTTCTATGTTACTTTCCTTTTTGACATTTTAGTTAATGTTTAAGCCAATGGATTCAGACTCTTGGTGAAGGATCGAATACCAAACGTCTTTTTGCTAGAAGCCCAAGGTTCTAGGTATTAAAGAACATGAAATTTCAATGTTTAAAAAAGTTAATTTAATTCCCCTTATTTGTAATTACGTGGTCTTTGAAATGAAAATGCACTATGAAACAGAAATGTAAAATACCCGAAGACGATTATGATTCAGAAAACAAATCAATGTTAAATAAATCGACTATTAGTCTGAGATTCAGATTTTATGACACCCAGAATGGCATCCACCGTAATGTTTGTCTATCAGTCTGAAACATGTCTGTACATGCGCCACACCCATTAAATGCATAATATTGAAGGATATCGTTACGTATTAAAAATCTTTGACATTGCTTCAATAATATATAAACATTTTCACGAACCCGTGTTAAGTAAATTAATGAATTTAGATCAAATAATTTGAAAACTGAAGACAATATTTAAGAACATATTATATTTAAATAAATAGGGTTAGTATATATAAGTAGATTATTTGTGCGAAAATCTGTGACTGTGTTCTGAATTTTAAAATTGATTTTCAAACCTATGGATATTTGCAAAATTACCTCAGAAAAACATTAGAACTACGACAGCGAACCACAGAAAATGGGACTTAATATAATAGAAAAGTGAATTATTAATCTAAAAAATATCAACTGAAAGCATGAATGTTTTCGAATTCATCTTCCGCCTTTGCCATGTAGCCAAAAGAATACATTTTCCCTCATTTTTAACTGGTATTTATTGTCCATAATATTATATTTTGTAACGTATGCGGAGGCTTGGATGTTTAATTTGTTACAAGTTAAATGCCTTGGTTGTAGATTATAATTCGAGTAGTGTATATCGACCATGTACTACGTATAAATTAAATTGTATTGGTGTTGTTTATGCGTGATTAGATTGCACATATTTTATTAAAATCATTTATATTGCAGTATATATTGGCGAATATGAGTTACACTAGTTATGTTATTACAAAGACTTAATAGAAAAGGCACAATTCTCCTTTGGTTCGGCTCGTAGTTTAACAAATATACCCTTTTAGGCAATAATAACTTTTAAGATTGACGTCAAGGTAAACTTGACTCTAAAATATATGACCTGATTTATCCTCCCACGTATGCTTGTCCTCCAGCCACTCCTAAACTTGTCCTGACGCGATCTAGAGGTGAGGCTCTAGCTATATCAACGTCAACAAAATTCCATTGACGACTTGGGAAATAAGAACAATATTTGCAATACTAATTAAAACCGATAAAATCAACTTTTAAGTTTATCTCCATTTATTTAAACAGCTGTATATAAGTATGATACTACCATGATAAAAGTGAAAATAAATATCATGTTTCCTTAAAGTTTTTAGTTTTGCCTGCTCTGTTTTATATACATTTTGCGTTTGCCAAATATCACCTAATTTTTTATCCCCATCGACTTTTACGTGATATGAGCTTGTTATAATAGAAAACCAATTATACATCTACTTCCAGTTTTTCAAGTATGGCTGTTCTCTTACTTTAAAAATCTCTTGCTATCAACAATGTTTTAAGGAAAATATAAAGTAATCAATGTGGCTTCCACATATATATTGATTTAATATATTTACTTTGTTTGTAACAGGTACTGGACTAATTATGATTGCTCTTAATCTTATTGAGCTATACCATCTTGGTATGCGCCAAGCTTACGATGCGTGGAAAAGGCGAGGTGAAGATATTACAAAGCAGTACAAGAGCGTCACAAATAACATGCCACACTTTGGACACGGAGGATACGGGGGCTACAGCAGGTATCGTGGTGGGTATCCACAAGCTGTAGGGATCCGCGTGGGGTACGCCAGGAGCAGTATGTCGGGTGAAGGTGGTGGGGACTATGATGGAGATCAATTTATATAATTTTATTCTATAATTATTCGCTACAATTTTGCCGAATTGTTGTTAAACGATGATGTTGGCATAAGCATTATGGTTTTAGATTTAGAACTATTTGACAAATTTTGATCATTCGTGCTTTAATCTTAACGCGTGGAAACATAGTTTATTAAGATATGTTCGACTTCGAGGGTTTTATCACAACATTTTTGGTGAACTTACATAGATTTGACACCGTTTAAAAAACTCTACGCATAGAAGATACCTGAGATTTAATATAGCATTGTCTGAACACAAAGCTTTGGTCAAAATTGCTGCCCACGCAAGTACATATGACCCAGCACGCCAACTATCTTTTCCATGCTGTATAATTTCCTGTCGTATAATTTGCAAGATTCTAGTTAAGCAAGTGACATCAAATTGTATAGCATTTCCTGAACTTCATCTGTAAGCCATATTATAATATTAAATTATAATATACTTGACCAACCAATGTGCCAACCTTACCATGACACCAATCCATTTTCGTAGATAAATATAGTAGATAGAAAACTTGTTTTTATTTTGTAAGCCATGATCATGCAATAGTATGCATGGCCAACAATGAGCAACCAAATAATTAATTATATGATGAGATGTTTATTTCTCTGTTGCGTGGAAAATTGATTGTGCCAAAAGCGAGCAAAAGTAGCAAACCTCTGTCAATCCGCTCTGTGATAGTTTAGAGACTTTTTTAATGTACTGTGAACACCATGAATCATTGTTGAACAAATTCCAAATTTTCTCTGATATTATTTTGATGTACAAAACAGTGAATATAGAATAGTACGTTTATGCCTGCTGGTCTATTTTTACCAGCTGAACATTTTTTTTTTATAAAATATCACTTTATTTTTGAAATTTTCTATTTGCCAAACTTATTTGCTTATTTTCTAATATACATCCCAGGTAGAGATTGTTCCCTTTTTAGCAGCGCAATACACCACTGTCCACAATTGGTTTATAAAATCTAATTGGTACTATTTGACACGCATCATGCATAAATGAATAAAACGGCAATCGAGCTGTATTTATGGCCCAAATTTAACTGTGTAAAATGATGAATTAATTTCTGCCTGGGTAGAATGTAAGATACGGGATGTTGCAACAGAATATAGAACAAAATAACAATATCAATTCATTGTTTTGCTTGTTGTTTCAGTTCATATATTTAGTTTTGTTGTCCAGAAACGTCTGTTCTTATTTTCTAAATAAATTAATTCCTTTTATTTAATTTTTTTGTGCCGTTTTGTTTTATACAATCAGATTTTTCCTCTTTTTTGCTGCAAAATCAAAATTGAAATTTCCATTTTTCATTTACATATCTTCTATTAATGTATAATACTTTATTGATAATAACATCATCAATCCTTCACAAACTTCACCATATGTAACATTTTATTATGACACCTTGTCAATCCATGTTTACTAAGTTGAATAGTATTTTTGAATACCTTGCTGCCAAAATAGATAGTAAGCTTGTCGCAAAGTGATTTTTTGAAAATAGAAAGCGAGACACTAATATTTTATTTGCAGTTTATCTTATTCATTATATGTGCCAAATCTTAGAAACAAATGCAATATGTGGATGCAAAATATTCAAGTACCGGTAACTACATTCAATATGTGATTTTGCGACAAATGGTGTTATACTTCCTACATTAAAGAATGTATTTGAACTTATCTCGAATGCTCATTCTAGTGTCATTTTGCATAGCCGAATATGATCTGAAAACACTTATTCTATTGTTTTTAACCACTTTTCCAAAGTTCGAAGGTGTTTATATTGTGTAAACAGTTCTGGGAATTTCGATTTCATTTTAAAGCATTCCATATTCTATAAAACTTCTATCTCAAGTTCCGTTGTATTCTCGAATGGTTATTTGCATTTTTATGTTGTTCATTTACATAAGCTAGTCGCAATATTATTTGTGATGTCATCAACGCATGACGTCATATATAAATTCACCACAGTTGCGCAACAACGTTTAATTTTGTTGCAAAGCCTTTGTTTATTTCATTTCACCGATTCATTCCAAATGATGTTATCATAGTCAGGTCACTGGCAACATTATACTCATGACTGTAACTAAGATGTATTTACGCAATCTAATTGATGTTCTACCGTCTTGAAATATTATCGGAGTATTTTTTGACTCAAATATTGTCGCCTTTAATTTTTATTCCTTGTCTGTTTGCACCTGCTTGCTTTTACTTTATTTTTTTTGGCTCGCATCATCTAATTATCTATTAGAGCACATTTAAAAATATATAACTGCATGGAGTGGATCTTTTTGAATTTTATTGTCGCGTGCCAGGATTTTTAAAAACTTATTTAGTCCTATACTCCTATTGTGTCTGTAGGCGAAATAGCACCAAGTCAAATTGTTTTATTTTTACCAAACAATTTTTTTCTGCGGAATATGGTGAGACAGATCTGGTTTGATTTATATAAATATTGCTTCTGGTTTTCTTTCGCGACATTGTATGCTTTGGCATCGTCTGGCATGTGTCATTGCAACTAGCGGATAGAATGATCCATCTGACTCTTCATTGCTGTAGTGTGATTTGTTTCTACCACATCGCGACAGAATAAGTTAGTAAACTTGCGGGTATGTAACCAATTTATGACAACAAGTATACGGTTTTGAGCACAGAAAACAAATATAAGCAATTAAACAGGAAAGATTTCAATTTATGATCTAAAATAAGTCAATTGTTTTAGTAGAGGTGCTAATAAAAGACACCGATTGTTAGAATTATTCTAATGCGTGGTTTTCAACAGTATGTAAAGTAAAAAATAATCTCAAGACTATATGGGTTGGCATCTTCTTGAAACTTTACTTCAACAAGTTGGAGAACATTCTACTCTTGTTGGAAAATTATGGGTGACAGCAACATTTGTATTTCGATTCATTGTTGTGGCAAGTGTTGGCGATGCAGTTTATTCAGATGAGCAATCGGATTTCACGTGTAACACAGCTCAGCCAGGTTTGTAAAAACCACAGAGTAAGTGTATCAGTTCTTATAAAATTTGAGATCTTTATATTGATATGTATATGTGATAATACTCAATAAAAAAATCATACAAAATTTAGACAGCATGACTTTGAATAACTGAAGTCGTTTGCAGTCTAGTACTAGTTGGTACGGCTTGAAAAATATGTATAGGCTAATTTACTCCGGAGCGCTTTTATCTTGCAAGAAGAAAATTCTTATGGAAATTGCAGTTAAAGTGGTTTGTCATTTATCACTTCAAAATTATCTTATTCAGGAAAAAGATTCCTATATATATATAATGTTTATTTTTCAAACAGGTTGTGAAAACGTTTGTTTCAACCTTTTCAGTCCAATAAGTCACCTGAGATTCTGGGCAGCTCAAATTATAGCAGTGTGTACTCCATCTATTGTATTTGTCGTATTTGCCGCTCACATGTTGCTGAAAATTCCCCAAGAAGAATCACAGGTAAAAATGGATCGTGTCTAAATATATTGGTAACTAGTGTTTGTATACGTCACACCAACAATCGGCGTATATTAACTTGAACATTTTCTTTGAACATTTGATCAGAAGAATTCCTAGTTTGTTCCGAAATAACAAGTATTTTATTTACATTTTTAATCAAGGACTTCCCGGAAGATGGTGATCTTCCGCCATTGGAAGACGAGTTAATTCCACCACCAGTGTCTCAACCTAGCAGCCCAAGAAAAGGAAAAGGCGGTAAAGGGGGAAGGTGAAAAGCTTATTTGGATTAATGAAAACTATATTGTTAGGGCTATAGCTGGTTTTGCTAAGACACCATTCATTTTATTAATGCTCATTCTACATCATCGGACATTTTATTTCTCCCTAAGTAAATATTATTTATATATATATATGTAACAAGAGACGACCGTTTAATCATGTATTGCCAAGACTCAGTAATTTGATTAATTTACACATAAAACACTAGTGCAGTCTATTACGTTTACCACAACATTGCTTCCGGTAAGCTAACCGGTCATATGAATAAATGAATTTTCGATTAGTCCTAAAGTTTCATACTTACAGCTCCTTTCGATCACAAAAACCACCCCCGAAGGCGCAGCCAGTCGTAGGAATGGTTCGAGGATTCGCTAATCCACCTGACGAAGCGACAGATGCTGTCGAAGATATCAGAGAGGGTGGGGCAGAAGAAGAAGAGGAAAATGGTAAACCTACAATAACTATTTGTAATGTTTAGACAATTGAACTGAATAATGACGATGAAACTATCTGAAAAAAGACTTTTTTACTCACGAGCTCCCATAAAACGTAAAAAGATTACCGATAAAAATGTTGCAACAGACCACTGGCGTGCTAAGAGCAACAAGCATAAAACTATTTTAAAGCAAGGTCTTCTATTAGTTCAAAATAATCTTTTGTTTTAAGTGAATTAGTACGTCGTACTACGATCTTTAATAAATAAACTAGGCTGATAATGGGCGCCGGCCACACGCCCTCTTCGCAGTTTCGAAATCCACGGAAATGTCCGGAAAGACTTTAATACTCCCGAAGATTGCAATGAAGTTGCGAGTTGCCATGCCGAAAATTTCAATCATGCAAATATATATATAGTAATTACCGTGAAGTTGGGGTTGTTTCAATCTAATACTGAAGTTACTGAAATGAACCCCGGCATGTCGATCCTCTGTTATTATGGTTGGAGGAAGTAGAAAAACGAGGGCAATTCGGGCTATCATATATACATAGGTACTCAAATTTAAAGCTGCAAAAACAGACGTATGTAAGAGTTAAGTGCGAGAATTGGGTTAACTAATCATTAACAGTTCCCTTCTTGCATCTAACAGACTTTTCGTTTTTAATTAAACTACTCTAAATCTCTTCCTGATCTCTAACTATACCAAGAATAAATATAATTCATCTTATTTAAAAATTCTAGATGGAGATGAAACAGAAGACGTTTTCGACGATGACAAAAATTTGGAAGACATAAACCGCGAGTTGGCGCTTCTGGATAAACTTGGTCCGCCGCCACAATCTGTTGCTGAAAAGAAAGAAAAACGAATAAAGAAAGAAATTCAAACTGTTTACGTTATAGCGCTCTTGCTAAAAACAGGATTCGAAGCTGTATTTCTATGGTTGCAATTTGCATTGTATGGATTTGTCGTTCCCGAAAGGTTTCAATGTATGAGGTATAAATAAAATACTCTCCTTGCTTATATTCCTAAGTTCCGTATAACATGCGAAAATGTCAAAGAATTCATAAATAAATCACTTGCCACCAAAACACAATCTACAGTATTTTGGTATGAGATGTGCTGCTCATTCAACAGTTTATTTGAGGTATACTTAGCTGGGTTTTCAATTTGAAATCCGAACAAGCGTCCTATATTTAATGAGTTTGCTCTCTAAAGGGAACATTAAGTCAAAACTTACTTATTAAAAATATGTTTTTGCTGCTTTTAATTATTTATTTAATTCTTTTCAGATCTCCTTGCCCAAATTTGGTCGACTGTTATGTTTCTCGGCCGAAAGAAAAAACCATATTTTTATGGTTTATGTTTATTGTGTCTGCGATATGCCTGGCTCTCAATTTAGTTGGTACGTAATCTTTATCAGGGTCCTATTCTTGTAGATATTTAAGGGTTGTGAATCCTTCGAATGCATAAAACAGACCGTGCACTTCATTTTTTGAGTATACTGATAGTTCTAACAATTCATCTATTTATATAGTGATTTGTTCAAATTTATTAAATTATACTTTTATCGTTGTAGTATTGGTACCAATTCGTTTTTTTTTGAGATAGAATTTGAGATAGAATATTGTCAAAGAATACTAAATTTTAACATTATCATTAATATGAAATATCTATTTTTCAGAAATCAAATATCTCGGAATCAAACGATTAAAGAAAGTTCTTTGTCGAGGAGTTCTGGACGACGGCGATGGTGAAAAATCGGACAAATTGGATGATGAAAAATGTCCCAGTATTGATATGGACAGCAAAGCATCCAAGGGAAGTTATTTTCGTGTGAATGGAAAAGTCGACCCTACCGCCCCACCAGCAACAGATGAGGGCGATTTGTACAACGTTATATCGTGCTCGGATAAAGAGACAAAAGACGATTCGATCGGATTTGGAGCGATTGGGAGTCCGCCATCCTATCCGATTCCAGGTTACCCATATGTGCATCGATACGGTATGATACTAAATGCTACTCCACCCCCACGTAGGAGTGACACACCCCACGAACCGCAGGAATCATATTTATGATAAATGTCAGTACCAACACCGCTGAGATTTTAACATGTGCTAATCACATTTCTGCGTTAATACTTTTATTTTCATAACGCCGAGATTTTTTTAAATTTATGAAAGAATTTACAACCGTATTGAGAATCTGCGAAGGTTAAAAACTGATAAAATGAACAATTGTACAACATCTAGCACGATGGATGCTGATATCGTTATAAAATATTGTTTTTAATGATATTTCAAGCTGATTTAACCATGAATGTTTAGTAGTCTGATAGAGGGTATGAGCTTACATGTCAATGTACCAATATACTTTGCCTAATACACTTTGATTGCTAATTTACTTGACGTACACTTTTCTCATGCCCAGTCATAAATATCACTGTATCACAGAATTTATAGAACTTAACATACATGAAAAGAATTTCTTAGTAAGCTGTTGCTGAATACAATTTTTCATTTCTTTCATTTACCAATTTATTGTCAAGAGTTATTTATTACTTATTTTACGATCGATATTTTACGATCGAACTGATATCAATGAAATTTTGTCAATAATATACATTCATGAGACTTCGTGCATGGAATTTTTTCAGATAATATATACACTAAATAGTATTCAAGCTATTACTCCAGATTAAGTACTGGAATATATAACACTCGAAACAACTGCGCGACCTTATTTCCACGATATAACAGTGGATGGAAAGCTTCCGCTATGAATGTTATCATAAAATTAAACCGATACTGTATAATAAGCATTAAATAAATTTAATATGTTGACGACAACAAAAGGATAGGATAATTACATTAGGGTTGACCAATCTACCTTCGACCGAGATCAACTGATATCTTAATACCTCACGATGGACTGATATAATTAGTAAAGTCACTCAAAATGGATGAATACTAAATTTTCAACCCAACATCAAAGATTAATTCCCAAAACGCCAGAAACTAAAGAAGTAGCCAATATATGGTAATATGGAAATTTTTAGTGATTCTCTCTCTCCGACTGAATTTAAATTAGATTCTGAATCAGAGTTGCCCAATGTGCACCATCACCAATCACAATCTTCGTTGATACACTACAGTCTGCACGGATATGGGTCTAAAGAAAATTATGATAATGTTACAGATTTGGTGAGAGAATACAGAAATACGAACTAATCCGAATATGGAATTAGAAGGATAATAAAAATTGCTTCTGTATCGCTTCTCAACACCTTTTTTTTGATGTCTTTTGAATACTTCAGGCTGGAGAACGTCGGCTCAAATTTTGACATTTTTGAAGACTTCGTTGAGAAGGTTTTTATGAAGGGCACGACAATAGTAGCTAATATTCTAAAGTCACTGTTGCTGTACTAACGGCATGCGTCAAAAACAAACGTCTGAGCTCCTACAAAGGTTGGTGGTTGGTAATAAAAAGTGCCTTAGATCTGTTTTAAAATAGACAAGAAACTAGAAGACTGTGATGGACACAGTGGTAAGCTGTGAATCACCGACAGTTTTGCCAGATATTACTAGAAGCAGAGAATCAATATGCTTGTGATATCATGTATGTCAGCAATGTTCGTCAGTTGAGGTGCAATGCTTGCAAGAGTGTATGTGCTGAGAAATGAAATAGTAGCGTTGCTACTAACAGTACTGCATTTAAACTGTGATAGAACATTTAAGAACTGTTCAGTATTCATTTTGACTTGGACGTCAATACCATTCTCGAAATGTTTTAATTGGACCTTATGCAATGAGTGACGAATTGAAGTCAAAATTTCATGCATATATCACTGCTTGACTTCCACAGTACGTACCTTCTTGAATGTAATCGTTATTCCCGTTAGGGGACCGTACATTTGAACCCACGTACATTTGAACCCATGTGTATATCCGCGGGTTCAATCTATATGCGGGTGCTAAAACCCATGGGTTAGGGTTAGTATGAGTTTAAATATCCGTAAAACAAAAAAATTTCCATAGGTGCAATTGTCGTGGGTTCAAATGTACGTGGGCTCAAATGTAATGGAACCTCCCGTTATCCCAGCTTAACGAATGGGCAAAAAATTACATCCATGTTTGGTAGTGTCACGTACCACTGTGCCCGTGTTAATGTTGTTTATATTTTTTATGTTTATAACCATTATGCTGATTCTTCATCGACGCTCAATTAGAAAACGTTTTACTTCTCGCGTCATCTGGCTTGTCATCAGATGTTGAAAAACTTTCACGAAGTAAGCAACATCAAGTGTCTTGGGTGAAAATAATTGCGGAACGCCAAAAAGTAATAGATTCAGCTTTTGGCCCGCGACTAACAGAAGGTTGCCGACCCGGCCTAGTGATCGACAAACAGATCGGATTGGCATTTTTTTGCATGCGATGATCTTACAATGGGCTTAACCGTTCGCAAATTCTGTGCGGTTGGTGATAACACGTTTCAAGCAAAACGCGAAGCGCTAGAAACACTCAAACTGACTTACGCAGATTCGACCCACATATCTAATCAGACATTGAGTTAAAGAAATATATGAATATATCGAATTAATCAAGTCCAAGTCTTACCTCCAGTATATTATTCCGGTAGTAACGTTCCAATCATTGAAAACCGCTTTCGTCTGTTCGGATTATATTTGGTCAACATCAGATGCAATAGAGTTCAATCAAAGTCTGAGTTGCGGAGTTATTAATATCGAGAAAACTGGCCGGCTATAAATCTAAACAAGCTAAGAGCGCAAAGTGTAGCCGCTCAACACATTACAGGTATAAATATTAACCCCACTTTATACAGTATATATTGAGACGACTTCTGTTGCAGTTGCTAATTAGGCTAATTAAACTAGTTAGATATTAATCTGATTCCAAACAGAATATAATCGGTTGTTACTTGTTCAAGTCGAGACGTCTGTTAATTTGATATAACAGCAAGGATCTAGACAATTGCCTGTATAGATTTTATTTCCTTCGATAAATATATTACAATAAATTAAATCAAATAAACCAACTTACAATTTCAAGTTATTATTCATAACAGTAGCGTAGCGATCATCAGAATTATTGATATTTGACGATAAGGATGACGATAAAAGACGATAAAGACGACGAGCGCTCAAAATGTTTGAGATCGCATTTAAAGGGATACACAATTTTCTCGATTATTCGAGACCGTTCTTACACTGATATACTATATATATATACTATAGTAATGCGCTCCCGCAATTATTGAAAAATGGACGGCCACCGTGGTTTGCGCATCCTTTAGAACTGCTGCAATCTTCTGCTAGCCATCTTAGGTCAAACGGGATAACAAATCTGCATAATTAAGCTGTAACGTTATCTACTTTCCTAATGAGCAATTTCAGTACGCGATTGACGAAAATTCAATGATTGGTAATTTGGTTATCAATGGTGTCTGTACCAACGTCGCTAATTTTATTTTCATCATCTCTGTCGCCACTAAATATTATGCAGCGCCATATTGGATACGTTCGGGTTCTATGACCGGATTGGTCTCCCAACGCCCTTCAAATATCACAGTGCAGTATGTCTAAAGTCCTATTTAACTCATTTATATTTGATTTTATCACTAAGTCAAATCACCATCATCTTAGTCTATATGGTATAGTTAGCATATATATTATAGATTCCATAGTATTGACAGCTTTGCGTCTTGACCTGTAGACGCTGTTTTATTCTCCCCTTGGCTAGACCAGACTCATGCCAAATAGAGGAATTTCTGAAGCATTTTAGATGAGTTCGGGCATCGAATACATAAATATACATATAGAACCAAACTTACATTGCTCGTTACAAGTCAGCTACTACCTTATATCTTAAGGCGAACAAACTTACATTGCTCGTTACAAGTCAGCTACTACCTTATATCTTATGGCTCAAGCACGCCCGCTGTCCACAGCTTCCTCGATATGACTGAGTTTATTGTTATGTAGTGCAGTGTCAACCTTTCTGTCATGTGTGGGTTCTGTGTCGTGCAAAAATCGTTACTATTTTGTCGTTGTTAGTCTATCGGGAAGGAGGATATGAAAAATCCATTGACAGCCTCCAACTGGGGCTCCAGCTACAGTAATATTTTGGAATTCGAATATGTTCACATTTTATCCGCGCACGTATGAAGTTTATAATGAAGTCACAGTCGGCAAGCACACAAAAACCTGCAACAAAATTTTTGCAAACACGCCATAATCAATAATTCGTATCTGCTATCGGTATCAGTGACGGTGACCGTACATTTGAAATTTGAACCCATGTGTATATCCGCGGGTTCAATCCATATGCGGGTGCTAAAACTTATGGGTTAGGGTTAGTATGCATTCAAATATCCGTAAAACAAAAAAATTTTCGTAGGTACAATAGTATGCAGGTGAAATTGTCGTGGGTTCAAATGTACGTGGGTTCAAATGTAATGGAACCATCAGTAACAAATTGAATGCTCATTTTTGTTGGCACGACCCTATGATAATCTCAGGGCGATGACTCCCACGTAACCGTGAGAGGACTGGTGGTTTATACTTTAGATCACGGGTGTTCAACAGGCGGCACCCGGGCCACAACCCGGCTTGTCAAGCCATTTGGTGTGGCCTTTGTCAACATTCAGATTCCCCCACATAAAATATAGAATCCTGATTCAATAGTTTATGTTTGAAAAGGCGTTACACGGATAAAAATACCCATTGTTTTCCTGCTCATGTCTCTGCGTTAAATCTTTCGCCGTTTTTCTCGGTGCATTCATTACTGTAAGGCTTCTCGTCGATTTCTCTCCACTTTCCTTTCCCTCTAATTATTTTGTGTGACCCAGCTAAACGCCTGAAGCTGGTTATATGGCCCACCGAAAAAAATGTTGCACTGCCCTAATTTAGATCAATTCAAATGGATTGTGGAAATTTTCACGACCTCGGAGTAGAAGAGATAATTAATTTTATTTGATTTGATAATTCATTTATGTATCCAAACTTGGCGACATAGCAAACCTCACTCTGGATTAGTTTATCATTTTAGTTCGAGGTTTTTCTGATTGGACATCCTTACGCTTGGAAAAAACGATAGTGATATAGGGCGCACAACTTTTAATGGCGTCCTGAAAAAAAAGCGAACGTTAATGCGTCTGAAATGGCACCATATAGTCGCGGATCGAATGACAGAAATTGATGGAGGAAATATCACCAGTGGGCAGTGGCACCTAGAAATGAGAACGAGGTTTGATCAATTGAAACAACGCGAATGCGACCTTAAAAGCCTATCAAATCCCAGTGCTTGTTGCTTCTCTGCCGACCAATATATCGAGATATTCTATATGTAATCAGGTTGGGCACCAGAAAAGAGACCGACACTGCTTTAGTGACTATGACAGAATCTAATGATGTCCTGAATCAGAGATAACTAACTATCTATTCTCCACTGTGGGCGCTTTGTCAGTACCTACCGCACAAATTCTTAGTCATAAATCGAAACTTTAATAATCATAATTTAAAAAGCAAAAATTCCCATTCACGATTACCCTTTGAAAGATTGGCAATTTTTTATTACTGAATATCTCGAATATATACTAGTTGCTGTGCTAGCTTTCTGACAAAGTGCCACGCTCAGTCAAGGTGTCAGTCTACGATTGCAAAATCGTAAATATTCAAGTGTGTCGATATACATGGATACAAAGGGAATGTTGTATGCAGCGTTTTTCAAATTAATAAAGTTAAACATTTAGTGCAGGGTCGTCCAACCCGTGGCCCGCGCACTATTATTCGAAGCCCGATGTCCTTCACAAATCTGAGGCACTATTGAAACCTCTAATAAAAAAATTAATTATTCCTCGTCGTTCAAACGCGCGATCAGCACCACCGAGCTATCGGAATCTTTTCAAAGTCTCTTTGCGGGCGTTATTGAGATATTCAAATTCATTTTTATCGTCTGATATGTATTTCAATCTGTTTTATTGCCTTTTTTCTTTAAAGCTAGAAGAGGCAGCTTTTATGACCTCAATATTTGACAGCACTTACTTTTATGAGCAAGTTTTTTCACGGATGATAATGTCAAATCCCCCGTGAGATCACTCATTTCTAACATTCATATGAAAAATTCGCTTCGCATTTCTACATCGTCCATCGCACCTAATCTTGACAACTTTGTATATTAATCAGTGCATACTTCACATTAGAATTTCTATGTGTGGTATAAACTTTTGACTTTACTGTATCTTTGTATTTTCATTGTTCTTATAATTTCGGTGTCAGGCTTTTGTTTGTTTTTTCATTAACCTGTAGTCGGCGTAGTGAAAACTAGAACATACCTTCCATGAAAAGTGGCCCGCGCAATCATTCGTAAACTAAAGGTGGCCCTTCCGCCAAAAACGTTGGAAAACCCTGATTTAGTGACTAACATTTTATTTTCACGGTTTCCGATTATTGGGGGTTTCATGCTCTTTCTGAATTTTTTTTCATTCTTATCCGCGAGTGTGAATTTGTAATGCATCAAATTTCCCATATAACTCCCACATATTGGTCTAACATTTTTGAATCCTAGAGATAGGATGTTTTAGAATTTCGGGTGACATCCTCCAATTTGACTATTACGAGTCGGAATTGTTTTATGACTTTTAATATGTTTGGTATGTATGTTGTGTGCCAAGTCATCGAATGTTCATTTATGTGTTACGAACGCTAATTTGCCAATCCGTCACGTTATCGGATTCGGCACCGCCAAAAATCATCGTTATTCACAAAAATAAAATACACAAAAATAAAATACATCAGGTAGACTGCTCAAAAACAAGACAACAATAGCCAATCACATCAAGAATGTTCTAAGCACTAGTAAATTAAAAATGGTCGTTTAAAGAACTAGCACCGCGTATAACCTCTCTCTGAAAGTTTCAAAAGATATATTCGAAATATTTTCAAGTGAAAAAGTGTTATGAAGAAGGGCTTCATCGTGAATGTCAGGAAACCCGTGGTACATTCGGATTAGTTCGTGCTAGTATACTGTCACTCAATTTATTACTTTAATAGGAATTTCGTTTATCAACTCCACATACTTACGTGTGGTAATGTGTTTTATCGCCCATGATTTTGTTTGTTGTAGACAGAGCCTATTTCTTGTGAACTCATCAAAAGCTACCGGCGCAGTTACATATTTTCCTTGACACTACCTATAATAATATTTGTAACAAATTGATTAAATAACATGGGTAACGTCAACATAGACGTTGAGAAAAATATTTGAGAAAAACACAATTTCCTGATGATACATTTGACAAGAATTAATGGTGGAAAAAGTAAATTTTGAACTCTGTCAATTCGAGCCTTCGTTACTGCTTTAGACATAAAAGAAATTCATCTGTGGTTGCTCGTGTGAAAATATTCGTTGTTTTTTATTACTCACTGAAGTTAGTTGAGTGGGTGTACCATTTGGGCTTTGTTCCACATTTCCTAACTTCGTGATCTACTTCTGCATACTTATGTTCTCATTTTTAGATAGTAAACTCGGCGTTTGGCTATGGCGCTGAACTCATTCGTTTATTTTCATGCTTGACTATCTTATGAACCATTGCACGAAAGCAGAATCACTTCTTTTGTTATGACTTATTATTCAATATATTTACTCGATTCCATCGCTATCGGGATGAATTGAGAAAAAGGAAGTTAGTTGCCGATAATTTGACAAAGGCGGCGTGCGTAACTGAGGGACTTTAGTAATTGATGAATAGGGTAAGGTAAATAAGTGAATCAAACACAAAAGATCCCGATCTAAAAAAAGAGAATGATTTGATAAGCGGGGGTCTGGAAATTATGTTTGCTTTATTTTATTGAAAAATTATATTTCATAAACTCCAAACATATATATGTGATAATATATGTAATAAAAGAAATTACGCTTTTCATCAAGCTTAAAAATACATTGCAATTTCATCATATTAAAATATATTTTATTTGTAGACCGTACCTGAAAAGTAAACACATTACTTATTGTTATCAAATCCATACTTTTTTGCGGATGTATACACTGAAATTTACAAAGCCATATGTTTCAAGTTTTGAGGTGAAAGGCAGCTTTACTGAAATAATGAGTGTTTGTATCAACATGCAATGAGATTTTGTTAATATTGAGCATTGGAGATATTTACTTAATCCAATTATTATAAAATAAGGTAATCTTTATAGATTGTATTCACCCCGATTATCAGTGCCCGGTATTTGTCTAGTTTTATCTAATATCCGAAATCATTCAAACGAATATTTAAGCTTCGTCGTAAACTAGCATATTATGTATTTCAAATATGGAGAAGGAGAAAATTCTTTTGAGAGATGCATGACAAATACTTGACGATATTTTATCGCGACATAGGAAGTCGTAATCACATTATTTGTTGAAACAATAGATTAAATAGAAAACTTCTGACCAGTAGATGTTAATTAGCCAGTTTCGAATGTGTATTGAATGTGATAAGCACTGAGAATAAGAAACCCACATTATTGTGCAGCTTGCCATCGGCAATTGATGTTGTAGGTTGATGAGGCCCATTTAAATAACCAAAAATACAAGAATTTTCAAGTAAGTTGTGAACATTTGACTACTGAAAATACAATATTATTTTGAGGATTGTCAAGTAACTTAAAGTCTTATTCTCCAAATAAAACATAGTTTAGATTTCCAAACGAATATCATATTTTATTTCTGCGTTATCTGGCCATCATATTTTCTTGGACATACAAAATAAATCGTTAATTACTGTCCATTCCCAGCGATTTGCTAATAGTTTACTTTGCATGTATGATTCAGTACAACAAGTATTTCGGATGCACAAATGTAAAGACAAAACAAATGACCGGTACTGGCACACCCCGGAAAGCAATCAAATTGTGATAGTGTCGATTTTTTGACACAGAGTTATGTGTTATACAATTGCGCGAAAAAGCCTTAAAAGAGTATTTATTGCTCCATTTACACCAGTAGAATTAGTGTGAATGCAGGAACTACACTTGACGGTGGTGACACAAATCAGTTTGAAAGTATAGCAAAGTGTACGTCTTGTCAACTTTTCGTAGTCGTAATAAACCTATTCTCGCCTGCTGTAATTTCTTTTCTATTTTTACGCTAATAGGGTGTCAAGATTGTACTATTATTGTATTATCAAGTGCTTTATTGTAGGACTACATTGATTGAAAATATATTAAAAATGGCTTGGCATTTACTGGAAAAATTGATTGAACAAGTTGCTCAACATTCGACTCTTATTGGAAAATTCTGGACTACGTTTTTCTTCATCCTACGCCTTCTTATTGTTATCTCCATCGCAGATCAAGTCTGGGAAGAGGATCAGGATCACTTTGTCTGTAATACGTTAAGTCCTGGTTGTGAAAATGTATGTTACAATCAGTTCAATCCTGTGTCTTTGCTGACTTTGTGGGCCATACAGGTAAGTGGAATGTTTATGATATTAAATCATGAGTTACATAACAATTATTCAAGTATCATGCTCATTATACTAGATTGCGCATTTTGGCTCATTGAAAGAAACGATAAGTGCCTATCACGACAACTACTTGGATTTTTCCGACAGTTAGTATTTTGAAAAATCAGTTTCATCAAATGCAAATATATCAAGTGATTTCATCTGTACTAGTTGTGGGCATGCTCGGGTTAAGTTCTCTTCTATTGGAGTCAGCCTGCCCGGCCTTGGGATTTGTTTAAAATGACTGTTTTATTCATTTATTTTTTTTTATATTAAATAGATTAAAACAAGAAAAATAGATATAAAAACTCACCTAATCGATTCTTATTGTCAATATACCCTCCAAAAAGCCAGAGATAACTATGACTTGCTCATATACGCCCTCTCAAGTTGTAGCGCAATGCGTCCACGATCGTGATTGGTGGAGGAATCCGTAACCGGCAAGCCATTATCTGAACCATCCTGCGACGGCGAGGAGTCCAGCACAGTGGTTCCCAAAATTTTTTTGTACCATCGCCCCCCTATAGTAGTTTATACAACTTCATCGCCCCGGCACAGTGTTTTGGAGATGGATGAGCTTGGTGTTCTTCAGCGAGTTTTTTTATTATATCTAAAATTACTCCGTTTACTAATGGAAAGGCGATTTCGTTGTTTTGATACAAAAAAAAATAGCACGGCTGAAAACCCCTTTTTCGCCATATATATAAAGAGGTCGGAAATGAAAGAATCCATGGTTCTACCTCCTCAAAAACCGCGTTGTACTATTGCTTTATAGCATTTAACTCCCTAAATTCACCCCATTTCACATTGAAATAATGAAAACAAGGTTAATTTTCCCAAACTTGTAATAATGATTTTCGTACATCTCATTCATTCCTACAGCCTGTTGACCTGCACCAAATTACATGATATATAACAGTCTTCGGTAAAATCCATCCCGGTTTCCTCATCCTACCACGGCCTCTAGTCCGATCACCAGTCCATAGAATTAATCAGCCATTTGTTTTGGATTCGTGCACTCGGATGTGAAAGGGGCTACGGCCCGGGGGTCGGCAAATTTTATGTCGCTCGCGGGACCAAATTTAGGGTTGCTAGTCTTTTGCGGGTCATATATATGTTTTGAAAGTTAAAAACGGAACAGAGCGCAAAAACTGCGACTATTCGTGAACTCAACTCAGTCGTCTTATTAAAAAAATATTACAATGACATTAAATGTGACATTGACTTTTTGCTGTATCACGCTTGATAGCTTTACGACGCCAAAATTGGAACATTTTCTAAATGGGCATCACTAATCCTAGTTCTTTGCTTGTTCTTTGTAATGTTCATTTTCGAAAATAATCGTTCGCACAAATATGTACTTCCATACATCGAAGTGAATATTTTCGCATGGTTTGTGAAATTTTGATTGAGATTTTCTTTAATTAAGAAGATACATTCCCTCCAAAATTCAAGCAGTGATAAATCTCTCAAATAGAATATGAACCTTACTTCCTTATTGCATTGCAATATATTAGAATATTTATCGCGCTTTTGAACCCCTTCACTCAGCATCAACTTTTCTGCGTGTTTCCATTTGTCTAATTATAAATAAAGAGTCGGCTCGTTAAACAAGTAGCTGTTCAATAGAACTTTTAGAATATAATAAAATTTAGTCTAAACGTGTCTCACGGTAAATTTTGTTGCGTAAAAAATGTAATTTACTAATAGTAATAATAGTTTGAAACAAATACTCCATTTAACAGGCAACAACTCGCGAAACCGCTCCTAAAATAAGCACCGAAAATTTTAAAATAGTCAAGTATAGATTGGAAGAATTTTCCGGGGTCAAAAGTCAGGGAAAGGTCCATTCAGTGAAGCGTCCTGGCCGGGTTATTTTACCCCAGCCGTATTTTGCCGACCACTTGGATACGCAATACTTTCGCGTGTGATAATCGCCCACGTGATTCAAACCTACGTTTCGCGAAATCGCCTCTTTCAACTTTTTCGTTCCCCTCTGTATCGTTTTCGGTCACCGGGGGGCGATATCACCCAATTTGGGAATCACTACTCTAGCAAACTGTTGCATCATATATTTTTATAACAGCTGTTTTTTTTTTAAATGAAAATCCCTATGTCTGAAACTCTGTTGATAACCGACAAATATACTAAAAAACATATATTTTCTAATATCGTTCGATAAAATGGAATTAAATGTTCGATGAGGTATAGTAAACCATCGTTTTCAAAGTAAAAGTTGACAGGAAATTTGAATTCAAACTGTTTGAAATTTCAACATGCGTTGTCCGCATGGTTTATCTCGTGAAATCTGCTAAACGCTCAAAGTCGAATGTATTCAATACTTGAGTAATGAGCCTGGTCGAGTAAAGCTGGCACAAATTAGAACGCAAAAGGATACCTGAAGCTCAGTCAATCGTGAAATCAGCCGCACTATCTCATCCCCATAAATATAACTGATGACTCAAATAAAAGAAACGTAGACAAGACCCAAGGAGACTTATACCTTAACGCCACAGTGTACCACATACTTTTGCGGTTGATTGTAAAGTTTGTGGCTGTTGTTTGAAGCTTTGAAAGTACTGTATGATAAAAGGCAACATTTATACTACGATAAGTGCTCTGTCCCACAAGGTTTGACACAACACACTTTTTGTGCGATAGTTGATCGATTTCAATTTTATCTGCCTCATGACTGTTTTGTTTATTTCTTTTGAAATGTTCACAACATTTGCGATTTTAATTATTTTTTCACTTTCTCCGCGGAGCAACCATGTAATTCCGCAGTGAAGTATTGCTGACATTTAAAGTATATGGATATTTGTATCAATTATATTAAAAAAATGTTGAGCACATTCATTACCGAAATGTATAAAATTGCCTATGAATCGCATAGAGAAGATTTCATGTTATTGCCATTTTCATTGTTTTGGCCTTCTTTCAAAGTTATTAAATCAGTCATATCTTGTTCTTGTTATTAATGATATTGTGGATATTTGTTACCGGTAAATATCTTCAATCCTCATTGAAAAATTTCTATTTAGCAGTGGTAATCGTTTAGCTATTTGCAGATTTTGGCGGTCGGGTTGTCAAGTGTTATGTTCATCGTGTATACGGCACATACAATGGCAAGAATTGAACAAGCGAAGGAAATCAAAAAGATACAAGAACAACAGAAAGTTACGCACGGAGTTGGAGATCAAGAACCGCCCGGTAACTGGTTAAATTCAGATGATTTTTGCGTAATAAAAAGGATAAATTTTCTTGTCACCCATCCACCTACAAAATGATTTATATGTATATCATATGTTATTTTTTATATTGAACTTGATTCATTTAAATATAAGCATGAGGGAAATTAACATAAATCGTATATTTTCAGAATACAGATTGGTACCCAGTGAAAGTGGGAATGTTATGAGTATTGATCGAAACGTAAGTAAATGTATTAGATTGGTTATTTATTTGAAAATTAATCCAATCAAAAAATTGAATGAGAATACAATGTTTGTGTACCAATACAAGTACCAATTATCATATAGGGTACATGAATGTAAAAAAGTAACGTAAAGTAATATTTCAGATTTTTTTCGTGTCCAGGCTAAAATGTTAATTAATTAAGTAATTTGTACACTGTCGTGATATTATTCAGTCATTGGTATTTTTATACATATAATATCAGGTCTCGTTGAATTTACTCTTATTATAGGATACGGAAATAAATGGGAAAAATGACGCGGAAAGTAAAAATAAAGAGGAGACCAAAAAAGATGGAGTAGAAATCGTGGCTGCAAAATTGGGAAACGATAATCCTCCGACCTTATTTCTTGCTTATGTTGCTCAGGTATGTGTGCTGATTGTCCTAATAAAAGAATTTATAATTTGATTTATTAAAAAAACAATTTCCCTGTCCAAATCACCATAATAGGTTACTAATGTTCAGAAGATTAGTTAAATTACCGAGCAGCTTCAATGTACGAAATGTGTGAATACTATTTTCTGTGTGTTTAACAATCTAATGTAAACTCTCCATCACTACACGGCTCATTTGTTTTGATTTTTCTTCACAAATTTCTTGTTGACCGAGAGATAAAAATAGGAGGATGCGTGATGATAAAAATTTCCTGACCAAGTATTCAATAAACATAATATTTGTTGCAGGTCGTCATGCGTCTGATTACCGAAATAATCTTCATTGTGATCCAGTTGAAAATTTACGTTTTTCAATTTTACGTCCCAGAGTTATTTCGATGTGGCAGATGGCCTTGTCCAGGTGTTGTTGATTGTTTCATTTCAAGACCGAAGGAGAAGACCTTTATGCTCTGGATAATGTTTGGTAAATAAATCACCTGAAATACTAGATGGAAGTGTTTGACTCCCATGGTTTGACTCATTAGTCGTACGCATTCTTCATTACATATACTAGAGATGTAGTTTTCTATACTCGCATAACAAACCACGGGTGTGACGTGAAATTAATAATATTAACATTTGAGTTTGCTGTACTTATTGTAAAACTGCACACTTGATAATAAAAATAAATGTTCCACGTAAGGATTTGCTCAAAGTAAGGCCACGCACATTCACTCAGAAAAACTGATACTCTCTTTTGAGCAAAGCCACGGGAGAACAATAAAATTTCAGGTGTTACTTAAAACATGGGCTTTAATAGACAGTTATTTGTACAGCATCAACATCTATCATGATCGTGTTGAATGTGATCGAGCTTTATCATTTGGGTTTGCGGAAAATCTACACTGCGTGGACGACCAGAAGCAATGATATAACAAAACAATATAGAAGTTTGAAGAGTGATAGTCCGAATTTCAATCCAAAGGTACATCACGGGAAATATGTCGGGGGATATCCGCAAGCAGTTGGTATTAGAGTCGATTACGCAAGAAGCAGCATATCTGGTGAAAGCGATGATGGCTTCCATTGCGACCAGTTCATCTGATAACAAATATTGACACAAAAAAATAGTATATACATGAAGTTTATTCGAATTGTTACAATGATTCCCGATAGAAAAATATGTATGAAAGTCAATCGGATTTCTCTTTTTCCAATATATTTTTCCACTCATATATATTTCAAATATTAAAGCCATTACAGCTTTGAAACGGTTAGATATTTTGCATAAGTGGTGTTCATAATATATATCATTCTTCTATATCAGGGTCTGATTTTGAGTGAACGTTAACAACATGGCTAAAATGAATTTGTGCCCCCCCCCCAATATCAATGCAGCGCTTGTTCAATCATGAACATTATTCAGGATTCTGTGGCAATTCGGTCGAAATTGCAATTCGCAAGATCCATCCTACCAAATGGGAATAGATTGTGATTGCTTCAATCTCTCTTACATATTGGAAAGTTTCGAGGCTCCACTCACAACTAAACAGAGGGGAGGGGAATTGGCTCATTAGATTTTTTTTATCTGTGGTGTTTTGGGTCTTTAAAGCGGGGACCACTGATTCTGTACTATCGATCAGATATAACAAGATTTGAACATTATATACAAACAGGCATAGGGTTTGTTTCAGCGAAAGATTTAATGCAAAGTTAAATATGTGTTATCAGTCAACAAACGAGTGGTATATCTAATGCTGCCATATACGTGTTTATGAGGAGTTAGTTATACGACACCGTAATGAACAAACATCGGCAGTCACAAAAAGTATTTCCCGCTCCAACCTATGGAGTCACCCACTAAACAAGAAACAGTTGAACTATGCTTTTGTGATGAAATTTGCCCGACCAGGCAGAAAGTTACGGAAATACATTTGTGTTAGTGTGAAACAAGGCTCTTGATTAAAATTAGAATAAACTATTTCGGCTTATATCTTTAAATGGGCACATTTAGTATTATATGGCACATGTAAAATGTCATGCATATGAAAAAAAAATTAAAGAATATGAGAAGAAAGTTAGAATATACAAAACGGTTACTGTTCTTCGATTACCATTATTCCTATAACCGCGAGACGTCAAAATAATAGATGCGCCGAACCTACATGTTCGAAAGTAAGAAAATTCTTTTGAATATAATTCTTCAAAGAGTCATTTAGTTTTTAAACGATGCAGTGATTAGGAAGCCTATAGCAATTTATTATAGCTCGTATGAAATTTTTCTAACCAATAAATGCGGTCTGTAATGCTTTAAAATGTTATCTGTTTCAGTCGGAATTTCTGTAACTAATTAAACGCACGATGTTTCAAAGTTCAATAGTTCACGATGGACAACATAGGGGAATGTACTTTACTAAGTGTAGTCGACCAACTTCCTCTAATGTTAGTGGGTATTTTCTAGTCAATTATTAGCCATTTGTTTAACGATCTTATATTCGTATACTGTTGCATATACATTACGATTATATAGAAAACGCATAATGTACAACTTTGAGTCTGCTGGCTCTAGTGACCGATGTTAGAGATTTTGTTGCATGAATACATTTTGGTACTAACAGTTCAGATGAGATTCCAACGGTTTACGGAATAAATACCGTTAAATAGTAAGTGCCTGTCTAACTGAAAAATGGAATAATTAACAATCGTCCAGTTGTGAAGTAAGAACGGCGCAATTTGTTCAAGATGCATGTACATCAGTATTCATGTTGGTTATCAGATATTTCACGATACCTTGAACTACCCGCGTTCATGGGAACAAATACACTGACGTTTAAAAAAATTTTGTCGTACGGAAATTATATTTTCTAGGGTAATATTGTTAGAAATACAGCAATTGACAAAACCACCAGGTCCACTCTGCTGATTTGGCACATCCCGTATGTTATGAATATCAAAATCGGAGTTTTTAATTCTGCTAGTATTTTACCGCAACAAGACAGTAATTATTCATATTAAGCACGCAGGTTACAGATTTTACTACAATTAATATCTTTATATCAGTCACTGCTTTTGGAACCAATTTTGATTTGACTATGGCATGGCATCTTTTGGAAAAATTTATTGAACAAGTAAGCCAGCATTCAACGCTGATTGGAAAATTTTGGACAACATTTTTCTTTGTACTTCGACTTTTGGTTGTGATTTCAATATCGGACCAAGTTTTCAAGGATGATGAAGACGAATTTGTTTGCAACACAATCACGCCCGGATGTGAAAATGTCTGTTTTAATCATTTCTCCCCGATCTCACTTTTACGATTGTGGGCATTGCAAGTAAGAAAGTGACATATTTACAAAATTATCTTTTTATTGAAGTATTTCATGCAAAGATATGATAATACATAAGGGATAGCAAATGAGAATAACATTTCTTCTGCAATGAAGTTTCCAACAGTCAAATTCAATTGTCCGCTTTGAGATTCCCATTTCTTCGAGTATAGCAGGCTACCACATTTTGGTAAAATACAAAACAGTTTAGTTTTCAATTTGTTTTGAATTTTGGTAATATATTGGCATTTTTTGAATGCATAATATAATCTCAAAATATTTCAATTTACTTAGAATAGGAAAGTAAATGATAAAGGAAGGTAAATGGAATAGGAAATAGGAATATTAATTCATTTATATTATCGAGTTCTGCTAGCCGCACATTGTTAAGTTGAGAGTTGAGTTTCACGTCTAAGTTTTTTCATAATTGCCGAGACCTAGTTTTTGAGCACAAAGAAATCGAGTGTTTGAATATGTTGAGTTCAGAGATGTAACGTTTCCTTCGTGCCTTATGATATCAATTTCAGAATTTTAATCGTAATATGTGTTTTGATTTCTGTTCTGTAGAATAATTGCGATGTATTGTTTTAACTCCGTTGTATCATTCCCTTCACCAAGATAAAATGCAATTGTTATGTACATATTGTGTGCGCTTGAATTCATTAGTGCTGCACTATTTACTTGTGAAGTACCCCCATAAGTTTTATAGTTAGCCGGTAGCCCTTGGTTGGTACTTCAGCGGTCGACCCTATAACTTATAAATGTATATAGATGACAGAAATTCCTCAAACTGCTTGGACGCAGCAGTTATAATAAATATAGAAATGATAAGTGCCACACGTTTATGAATTTGCCGGGTTAGTGAAATATATCAAAAATAGTTATGTCAACAGAAACGAAACAGAATTTATTTTCAGCCTTTTACAACATTTTCTAGACTAGACCACATTGGCGTCTGTAGTGAATTTAATTGTTCGGAGTGAAACGATATACGAAAATGACAAATTAACAAGATATTAGAAAATATTTGAAATTGGCCATAATGGAACTGTGGTCATTTTAACACGCCGGTTTGAAATCGCATTGCTTTATTTTTCAGTCGCTCAGTGTTTCGATTGCCAGTGTCATGTTCATTGTCTACACTGCGCATAAAATGGCGAAAATTGAACAAGCTAAAGAAATAAAAAAGAAACAGAAAATGGAAAAAATGGCAAGACGAAAGAATTCAAGTCTACCGCCAGGTCTATAAATTAAAATCGATAATTTCTCTGCAAATTCATACAATTCTTTTTTTGTATAAACACTTTTTATTTTGAGTACATTTCCAAGTTGTTGAATTAGAAAAAATCAAATTCGATTTTGACCATTTTCAAGTTGAATATTTTTTGTGTTTTACCAGATGATGACGATATCTGCCCCACAATATGTGGAAACATTCTAAACTAATGTTGCAGGCTAGGAATAGTGTCATTAAGTGTCCTCAGTCACAATTTGAATCTCCTCCTTTGCAGAAGACCTATTTTATTAGGCTGCTAAATAAACAACGGGTTTGATTTTTAATGCTGCTACACAAGATCAATACTGCACACAATGTTTACGAGTCCTCACTAATTTATAATAGCACCTTCAAGCCAAATTATATAATGACAATTTGTTGATGATTAATTCGACTGATGTAAAAACGAAAATATTGGTCAGAGACCGAAGATTTATCGATTGAAAGTTAGGGGATCCCCCAAAACAGCGCTCTTACTCCATAGTGACACCCTGTGTCCCATCACTAATTAATTAATAACTCGCTAATTATACGACATCATTCGCCCAAAATCAATAGTCTTCTGGTCCGAGATAAGATGAATGCACATGCAAAATCTGGAGCAGATTCAATCTCGCTTCCGTGAGATATCGCGTGCATCTAACAGACAAACAGACAGACAAATACCTATCAACATGCTTACCGATTAAAATCGATAAGTAATAAATAGCAGTCAAATGTAAAACTTACGATCACGTAGAAGTTTCGTGTTAGGGAAAAGAATGCCATAGATATCCCATATAGATTATTTATAAGTCACTGTCGGTATTCATGATGGAGCAAATCCGCCACGATGGAAATAGAAAACCTGGTAATAAAAAGTTTAATCATTAAAGACGTATATCGTTTTCAAATATTTATGTTATATAAGCTGTTTTACTAATTTCGTTTAGTAATGCTTTGATTAAACAGCCACTGTTACGTGGGAAGATTATTATTTCTGCGATTTGTTTTGTCGTACCCGAAATTCAATATAATATGTTAAAGGAAGCAACCATGGAGTTGAACACCAAGATCTCAAACGTGAAATATCGACATAATTGAATCCAAAGTACGAAAATCGTGACAATAGCCTCATTAATATTTATTTTTTTCAGATTACAACAAGATTATATATGGGAACGGCCGTGTTGTGAATGTTAATGAAACGGTATGATGTTATATTCGAGATCGAATTTAGGCAAGGTTGTTTTAAGGTATTTAGTATTAATATGGGCCAGAAGTAATTCAATACAACCCAATGAGACTAAATAAAAATACTGTGTAATTTTAGGCAATGATTCACTATACAGAATAAGGCATAAATACAGGTATAGTACAGTCAGTTATATTTTAATCACTGAATTATGAAATAAATGTAGTTGTTCACAGACCAAACAATAAAGAATCGCTTAAAATAGTTGTAATTAATTGAATAAGTAGAAGGATAATATTGGAATTTGTTAAGGAAATCAATGAGGAAATATTTTTCCTCTACCTTATCATGTAATGTAATTTGGTGGTGGCCTGACCCGATTGTGCTCTTTTACGATATCAAAATCCCCTTTTTTCAAGATAGAGCTTCATTTCCCACTATCCCGCCGTACCATATATATGTATTTTTATACAATGGTATTATGTTAGGGTGATTCATGAGATCCACGTTTACTGTTTAGCTACATGTACGGAGTTGCTCAGAAATATTCGATTATTGGAGCGCTTTTTAATTGATTTAGAGTCCGAAAGAATCCACGATATCTCCCTCTGAAGAAGATAAGAATAAAAATGAAAGTAAGGAAAAGAAAAAAGATGAAAAGAAGGAAGAAAAGAAGAATGACGTCGTTGCAGCGAAATTAAAAAATGATAACCCACCAAGACTTTTTCTTGCGTATGTAGCTCAGGTGCAGTTAATCTTCTTTATTCACCTTTGTGCTGAACTTTTATACTACTACATTTATTTTGTCCTCGACCAGTCATTCAAGTTTGCGGGACAATTGGCCAATTAAAATATGAAACTGAACTATGCGAAAGCTATATACACGTGTTTTAACAGCATTGTACGTATTCCAATTATTCAATATATCTTATATTATTGCGTGATATTATCACCATGCAATTTATTATTTACATCCGGTATATTTTCTTTCAGGTTTCCTTACTCAAGTGGCACAATTAGGTTTGAAGAAAATTATTAATCCAAATTCAAATTTTTTTTTTTTTTAGATGATTATGCAATTTTGCTTACATTGTGAGGACACTTGTTTTCTATTATTCTCAGGTCGTAGTTCGTATGATTATAGAAATCGTGTTTCTTGTCATACAAATGAGAATATATGTTTTTAAATTCGTTGTTCCGGAATTGTTCAAATGTGGCAGATGGCCTTGTCCGAATATTGTCGATTGTTTTATTTCTAGACCAATGGAAAAAACATTTCTCATTTGGATTATGTTTAGTGAGTATATATTTAATATTAAGTACTTAATCATTATATGAATCGAGTTTGCACATTTTGACCATATTTCGTACCTTTTTGCTAATTTGCAAGCGCTGAGGAATTATTTGTTGTAAAGTAAGCTGAATATAGTGACCATGAAATATGAAAACCTTATAATCTCTTTACATCGGAAGCAAATCGGTATTTTCCATTTTACAACATTGCGCAGTTGTTGATTAGGAATTTTTAAATAATTTAATCAGCATTTTTTATTTATAAATAATACATTATTCCGCAGCGACTGCGATCATCATGATCGGTCTCTGTATTCTTGATCTTCATCACATTGGATTTGGAAACATCTACGCGGCATGGGAAGGAAGAAGGAATGACATCACTAAACAATATAAAAGCGTGACCAACAACGTTCCTGTCTTTGCTCCGGTATATGGACGTCGCCGTCTATACAGAGGATATCCTGAGGCAGTAGGAATCCCATCGCTATTGGCCTACCCAGCAAGAACGCAAACGTATTCCAGTAGCCTGGACACCAGTGTGTACGATGAGCATACGTAAATATCCCAACAAAAACCTTAGAGGTGATAAAATGATATCCATTGAAGAGCAAGAATGCCTACTTTTTTTTCATCTTTAGCATTTGTTTTACAAGATTTAACAGCCATACATAATAAAATCGTTATAACTTGGCAAATCAAAAAATACAGTCAGAAGTAACTCACGTCCATTACATTACCAATCAGTATGCGGTGCGTGCCATCGTAGATCACTGTCCGATGCGAGGTGCCCGTCGTCGTATAGCGAGGCTGTTAATTTATCGCCTTAATGAGTTGTATTTCATTTGTGGCACGTATTTGACTGTTTTATGCTATGGTGCTGACATGGCGACGTTATATGAATGAATAAAGCATGTTACATCTGATCGCAAGTCTGTGTGAACTGTAATAATCATATAGACAAGGGATGGGCTTCTCTAGTCGGCGGGCCAGATGTGAGAAAATGAAGTCCTCGGTGGGCCGGATTATTACAAAAAATACTTCGGTATCCAATCTTTGTTAAATGCTCGACACTCTCTGTCAACTTTACGTTTCCTGGAATATTCCATGGTTAATAAAACTTGATATAAAATCTAATTTCTAAAATCTATTTATATTTAGAATATAAATATAACTGATAACAGTAGTGGGGAATGTTTACAACGCTCTCTGCTTTGACCTTATATTGTTTGTTTAACAAGTGTGCTGACGCAATTGTTTGTTCACTAAGGCAAATCTGCAATTGTTTATTTCATCAACTCGCACTGACACTCGTGCGGTGAGAGTAGAGCGATCGGCAATTTTCCGGAATGATACGTCGGACCGCATTACAGAGTGTGGTTGGAAACAGTCAACGGCCGGACCCGGCCCGCGGACCGTATGTTGCCCACCCCTGAATAGACTATATAGAGTACGGAAAGTGGAGCTTTTGTACAGAGAATGCAAAAATGTGAGATATGAGGAAAACACCCCCGCCGGGTTTTAGAATAAAAAAAATGGTAATTATCCAGTTAGGGTTCGTTTTTTTCGTATTTTTAATTTCGTATTAATGGAATATTTTTTCAAGTAGCGTTGTTATATATCTTGAGTTTCGGTTGCACTGTTCAAGAAATATTCGCAAATAAACGATTTTGAATATTTCTCGTTTATATCAAGTTTTGGATATCGGACGGAAATAAGTGTCTTGCATGTACTTAGATTTTGAGGTTCCCCATAGATGCATATAATACCTAACTACTTTGTTTCGGTCTCTTTCACAAGAAATTATTCCAAATTTTACACCATTCCAGTATTCCATACGAATAAGTTTTTGGCCATAGTTGGTATTTCTTTACTGTAATATAGTTTTCTAATATCCTGTTGTGTAATCTATAATTTGGACTGTGAAATTTGTGGGTGTTATGCTTTTAGTTTTTTTTAGTATTATAAAAGGTCAAGTGTAAAAAAGATGGAATGAGAGGCCAAAACTATGTGCGACTTTTTTTTTTTGTTAATGCGAATTTCAAATCATTCATTTTGATCCCAGAATTTTCCCACAATGCGTAGCGAATTTTAATCCCCTCTTTCAGCAAAAACTTGACACACGATCCACGTCATCTCACTCGCCTGGATAGAATATTGTTATCACGAAATATTCTATGTCTTTCGCAAAGAATTTGATAGGGGTCGATTATCGGTTAACTTTTCCGCAACATTGTGAGCTCAACGAGGCACAGATGAGCGGGGTCAAAATGGGCTCAGATTGCGAAATCAAAGTTCAAATCGGAGTCCGATCCTAAAAGAGTGAAAACATACCTCATATTTCGCTCTAGTAGACTACTAGAGCGAAGTACTAGAAGCGCACTTATGTTTTTTGTTGGTGTGTTTCTGATCCGCATCCAAACTAGTTCAACACATCCAAAATCATTCTAAAAAAAAAAAACGCACGCCCTTCTTGCATCATCACGTTGACTGCAACTATATTTGAGCATTGGTAAATATATGTGGCACGTATGCATTATACTCCTTCCTACAGTGCATTTACTTACTGCATTAGGACATTGCGAAATTCGCGGAACATTTACGCAATATTTGTTCAATAAAACTGCAAAACTGCGCTTCAGTAAAGATCAGGAAAAGTAGATTATGTATTTGTGGCAATCCCTACAATACAACACATTCGAAAATTGTAAGTTCTGCATGACCGTGTTCAACACGACCGCATGGCCAAGTGGATGTGGTACACCACAACTACAGCATTTATACATTGCCACACACAATTATTACAAGCTTGCATTATTGGACACGTCAGTGTACATAACGATCGTTTCAATATTATGTTGTTGTTCTTGTTATTCTCCTCCTTCGTCATGATGAAATCGCTTTTCTCTTCAAATACTGGACCAATTGCGTTGAAATTTTCAGTGGTTAAAGATTGATTTTTTTGCCAGAAGACTATTACTTTTACTTAATTCAAATCTTTCTGTAGACTTCAAGAGATTCGTTTTTTATGTGTCATAATAAAAAATAGCAACACCTTGTGACGTGTCCGTATATTTGTAGCAGTATAGTGTTCAATACAGCTTTATATTGCCAAGTGGCACCTATGCACTTTTCATCAATGAGCAACAAATTGATGACATTGTATACCGGAACGCGTTATTTAAAACAACCCATCCAAACGCTAGCAGAACTACAACATTTGAATGCAATTACTGGAGGAAATCCTTATTCCATTAGAATAGGGTTACCATAAGCCATATTTTTCCCTGACATGTCCGGGATTTTAGTGGTCTAATTTGCTTAAATGTCAGGGATTTTTGAATACAGTGAATCCGTGCTACAAATCCTCGAGTTTTCAGATATTGCGCATCTACGAAATCCTATTTTCCCAGAGATATGTCACATTCTAGGATTTTTGTGCGACATGGATTGCGTCGCATTTTGATAATTGTGATGTCACATATGACCTGAATTGCCAGCATTTTGTAATCGGTATTTTGGTTGCACTACCGGTACCGGTACTTTATTCCGTGCTAGGGTTTAGTCACTAGTGCTAAAGATTAAGCAACAATTTTGCTCCTCCCGTTTTTTTTTCTGTATTTATTCTATTCTCACGAGAAAACGACGACAGCTTGTGCGGATACTTTGTGAATTTATACCATTATATACGGTAAGTGTTTTGGTTGCAAAATCGGTCAATGTGGCTCAATACAATTTTGTCATGGATTTTGTTTTTTCAGATATGGTAACCCTACATCAGAATAATCCCATCCTATATAAAAAAAAAAACAAGAGAGCTAAGCTCAGATATATGGACACGTCACAAGGTGTCGCTATTTTTATTCTGACTCATAAAAAACGAATCTCTCAAAGTCCGCAGAAATTTTTGAAATAAGTAAAGGTACAGTCTTCTGGCGAAAAATACAATCTTTAACCACTGAAAATTTCAAAGCAATTGGTCCAGTATTCGACGAGAAAAGCGATTTTTTAATGATAATGACGATTAAGAATAACAAGAACAACAACATAATATTGAAACGATCGTTATGTACACTGGCGTGTCCAATAATGCAACATGCACAAGTCCTAATGACCACGTGTAGCTTACCTTTAAGTCTTAGATATCATGTAAGAATTATAGTCTAACATTCAGCATATATATATACGTTCTCACTGTTGGTGAATAGTTCAACTATGGCCTAATTGTATTTTAGCAAGTTATGCATTAAAGGGCAAAAATATCGATTTAGTTGGACCCTGTTCGACTCATGGCAACCGAAATATTCACATCCCGATCCGAGTTTCCGAATGGCTTATATATTTTCATTTATCAAAAACAAAATTACAAAGTAGATAATTAGGAGATTTTTGAATATACATAATATAAAAACCGATATCCATTTAGATAGATAAATAGACAGTTTATTTGAATACTCAATAATATACCGAGATTTAAAATAGAGAATTCTTGAGGGCGAGCAAAACCTTTAAAACATGAGAGATCTCATGTGCCCGCCCACCAGCACACACACACAAATAAATCACAAAAAACACCAACCTACTTAAAACGAGGCTTGGGCCAGAAATGATCAAGCAAAAGATACTCGAATGTATTGAACCTCCGGGCTGTTATACTTTTAAAACACCTAAGCAGTAGTGAGCTGTAGCCGGAACACACCGGAATGGCGTTCCGTTTGTTGGACATTTTATTGCATTTGCGTTCCTGTTGTTAAAATAAACTTATTGTACAAAAAGTCTTATTTCTCTGTTAAACCTAGTTATTAATTTATATTTTGTTATATCATAATTCGTAATTCTTTTAACATCACATCACGCAAATGATTAGTACATCAGTAACGCGTAATAGATGTTTCCCCGACCTTTGACCCCCTGGAAATTCATCCCATATCTTTCTAATAATACCATTTGTATCGAATCGCTATGAATATTCCTGTAATTTTACAAAGACATAGTTCAGATAATTTCTTCATATTTCATTGTAGTTCTTCGGCTCTATCTTAGACCAGACAAAACTTTCTGTAAACGTCCGCGCCGTGTTGTAAATATATTACATTTTTGCGAATTGGGTGCGTTCCGGTTGTTACAATTTTTCCAGCTCATCACTGCACCTAAGCTATTGCAGCAATAATGACCAATACAATATGTACAGTATATGCCAGCAATACGCTCTTAATTCAATATTTTTTTTGTAATATTGCGATAAACCGAGAATCTTTGGCGTCAAATGTAAACATGGATTAACGGATTATATTATTTCCAATTCTCAAAAATTTTCCACAATATGGTCTATTGATCATTACAAAATGAAACCTCCGACATCAGATTACTCTACAGTCTGACATTATCATAAGCGGAATGTCGAGTACGATCGTTGAATGTTTGTATGTTGATTTCTTAAAACCATTATCCGCAATACCTTTTACTTATAAATAACACGTTTTTATTCAAAATAATGCAAAACATAGATTATCAATCATTTAAAATGTGTAGAAGAGATTTCATGCTATCGACTACACTAGGTCACTGAACCAAAAAAAAAAATTCGCGAATGATTATTGACTGAGTCTTATTTTAATAAGGGCAGGGCTTTTATTAAAAATCATTTTCAAAGTTCAGGGTAGATCTTATTTTCGTGAAACGCGGTATATTGGATGCACAACGCAGCCTTTTTATAAGTAGATTAGGAGGTAGAGTTATCTATTCATCAAAAAGGTCATTCTGTTTTCACACCTTCCACATTCCTATTGAAATAACAAATTTAACACGTGGTTTTTATGAGATGTTGAGGCGATAATATCCGAGGCGACGACTTGATTGTTCAAACGATTCACACACATTTTAAAATTGCCTA